TGGGAGGGTGGGATTAAGTCACTCTTCTAATTTCTCAGTGTCACATTTTATAATAACCTTTTCAGTGGTTGGATGGAAAAGTACTCATCATGCTGTAAGGCATTTCTCCACCAGTGCCCATCCTAGCTTGCCAGACAGCTTACCTATCGTGTTCAGGACTTTCACCCTCAGAATTTCAAGTCAGCTGGTAGGTGGCCCCAGAGTTCTAACTTCTCATCAGTGTGATCTGGCATTTTTCAGCATCAGACAATGAAAGGCTGAGTTTGTAGTTCATTGTGCTTTATTTAGTCTGTAACTCAAAGATTCAAAAATTATATTGTTTCAGAATCCTTCCTATAAAGGCTATTTGGATTTAGTAAATACTAAGACAAAGGTCTGAGTTACCAAAGCTAGTCCAGGGAGGTATTGCTGGCAGCTGACCTGCACCCTGCAGCCATGTGTGGGAGAAGCTGCCAAGGCTAGCTGAAGAGCACTTTCTATTCTGGGCTTTCCTGCCCTGGCAGTTATGGCTAGAGGCTGGCCCAGCCAGGCTGAATCCATGGGGTGGGCCTTTGGCATGTAGGCGTGATGTTCACAGTAGCACTCAAGCTATTCCCAGCCCACCCTTGCTAAAGCTGTGGCTTACCTGCTCCTACTGTGAAAGTATTAATAGCTGATTTGGAGTGGGGGTGGTGGAAGCTTGCTGTTTGGCCCAAGTTCCCCTCCTCCGGAGAGCCAGAGTTTCACAAGTAAATCTTGAGCAATTGCCCACAGTCTCTTGGCATTAAGCCCTCTGGGCCCAGGTAAAATTGGGTTCTTCCAGGAGCTCAGAGGTTAACAAAGGCAAAGTAGCTGTGGGCAATGAACGGGAAAGGGCAGCCTTTGATGAGGCTGGGTGGCTGGGGAGGGAAAATCCCCAAGAGCAAGGGTGCAAGCCTCAGAAAGGCCAGGGGCCAGTCCAAGTGGGGGAATGGCCAGTCCTGGGGCCAACCACTGCTGGTAGAGAAGGCTGCTGTAGTTAAGGCAGGCTGTGTCCTAGCCCATTGGCCTTAGTCTGCCATCTTTGCTCACAGTGGTACTCCTGAACGCACTGAAGACCTTTCAGAAGGATTCTAAAATCCTGTGAGGCCCATGACAAAGCACAGTCACATGCTCATGACTGATCCCAAAACAAGATAAAACTTCTTTCATTTTTGCCACATTTCTCAACAGTCCTGTCCATATTTGTGTACATTTAAAAAAATGAATTATTTAACTATTAGATTTTTTTTTAATTAAGTTTATTGAGGTATAATTTATATACAATAAAGTTTATCCTTTTAAGGTATATGGCTCCACAAGTTTTGGCAAATGTATGCAGTTGTGTAGCCACCATTTCTAGCAAGCCAGAAGCTCCCACATGCCCCTTTGTAGTCCCTCCCCCACCCCCCAGCCCAACCCTCTGGCAACCACTGGTTTCTGCCAATAGACTTTGCCTTTTCTAAAACATCATGTAAATGAACCAGACTGTCTTTTTAAAATGTTTATTTCTATTTCTGTAAATTAACAAAATTTATTTTTAAAACTTTACTGAGTCATACAGTATTTTACATCTGGCTTAGATTTTTTTTTTTTGAGTTGGAGTCTCACCGGTCACCCAGACTGGAGTGCAGCGGCCACTCCCCGCCCCCGCAGCCTCGATCTACTGGGCTCCGGTGATCCTTCCACCTCAGCCTTCCAAGTAGCTGGAACTACAGGCGCGCACTACCACACCGGCTAATTTTTTTGATTTTTTGTAGAGATGAGGTCTCACCAAGTTGCTCAAGCGGGTCTCGAACCCACGGGCTCAGGCAATTCACTCACCTCAGCCTCCCAAGGCGCAGGATTACAGGCTGAGCCACCAAGCCTGGCTCTGGCTTAGATTTTTAAACTGTGTGTGTGTGTGTGTGTGTGTGTGTGTGTGTGTGTGTGTGTGTGTGTGTGAAGAAATATATCAATGAGGTAAAACAGTGAAGCAATTCCAAAGGGCAAAAATAATTATTCATCTAACCGATTCTGACTCCTCCCAAGTAACAACCATGTTGTTTTTATGTGTCCTTTAGAAACACAGAAGTATATAAATATGACAAATAAATATGCATACATGACATATATGTGCATATTCTAATCACACTGTCCTTCACTTTGTTTTTAAAAAATGTTTTTAGAATTTTTTGATCTTTTTAAGTTTTATTTTTATTTTCATATGTATTTATTTTTTGTTGAGATGGGGTATCACTACGTTGCCTAGGCTGGTCTTGAACTACTGGGCTCAAGCAATCCTCCCATCTCAACCTTCCAAAGTGCTGGAATTCCAGGCATGATCCACAGCGCCTTGCCTATTTTATCTTTATTATTTTATTTTTATTTATTTATTTGGAGTTGAAGTCTCACTCTGTCACCCAGGCTGGAGTGCGGTGGCATGGTCATGACCACCGCAGCCTCGACCTGCAGGGCTCAGGCAATCCTTCCTCCTTAGTCTTCCAAGTAGCTGGAACGACAGATGCACATCACCACACCCAAGTTGCCCAGACTGTTCTTGAACCTGTGGGCTCAGGCAATCCTCTCACCTCGGCCTCCCAAAGTACTGGGATTATAGGCATGAGCCACTGCACCGGCCTTATTTTTATTTTTTATTTCAATAGATTTAGGGTGTACAAATAGTCTTTGTTTGCATTATAGCTTTTTTTTTTTTTTTTTTTTTGAGTCAGGTGTCTCACTCTATCTCCCAGACTGGAGTGTAGTGACATGATCATAGCTCAAGGCAGATTCAACCTCCAGGATTCAGGCAACTCTTCCACCTCAGCCTTCCACAAATAGCTGGAACTGCAGGCACATGTCACCACACCTGGTTCATTTTTTACTTTTTTGTAGAGATGAGATCTTCTTATGTTGTCTTGGCTGGTCTTCTTGGACTGAAGTCATCCTCCTGCCTCAGCCTCCTCCTACTCTTTAAGAGCTCATATGAATCAATCTCCAGAATACACTAAATCAAAAAAGGAAAGTGAACGGGGCGTGGTGGCTCATGCCTGTAATCTCAGCACTTTGGGAGACAGAGTCGAGAGGACTGCCTGAGCCTAGGGGGTCGGGACCAGCCTGGGCAACTCGATGATACCTCGTCTCTGCAATAAATAAAAAAATTAGACAGGTGTGGTGGGAAGCTGAGGCGAAAGGATCACCTGAGCCCAGCAGGTCGAGGCTGCGATGGCCGTGAGTGTGCTATTGCACTCCAGTCTGAGCGACAGAGACTCCAACTCAAAACAAAAACAAAAATAAACAAAAATCCTACCCATTCTTTAATTGTGACTCCACAGTACAGATATGCTACAACTGATTTAGCCACGCCTCTGGTGGATTTAGGTTTATTGACAGTCCTTTGCTAATACAAACAGCAAATTTAAAGCTATAGTGCTCTCAGCAAATAAATAAAACACAGAAATTGCGAGTTTTATATCATTGTAAGTGTAGGATAGAACCCATTTTTGTTATTTGTGTTATTTTTCACTTAATATCTTGTTCCTCCTTTTTGCTTTTTACCTCTGCCCTTCCTACTCCCATCAGACACTTTTTCCTCCTGTTGAATTTCTGTTCATTCTTCACCACATCCATCACACCCATGTGGGGAAGCCTTCCCAGATTTTTGTCTCTGCTCCTTGCTCTTCTCTCCTCAGCACGTCCGTAGCATTTTGCAAGGTAGTTTCTGATGCTGCTCTCTGGCAATTCGGTGAACTTGTAGGTATGGCTTGAGTCCTGTTATCTGTGCCAACAACACAGAGATACCAGGGTCTGGCACAGAGTTGGCATTTAAAAAATGTTGCAGGAACCAGGCTCGGTGGCTCAGCCTGTAATCCCGTGCCTTGGGAGGCTGAGGTGAGCGGATTGATTGAGCCTGCGGGTTCGAGACCAGTCTGGGCAACTTGGTGAGACCTCATCTCTACAATAAATCAAAAACTAGCCAGGCGTGGTAGCGCGCCTGTAGTTCCAGCTACTCGGAAGGCTGAGGCGAAAGGATCGCCGGAGCCCCGCAGGTCAAGGCTGCGGTGGCCGGGAGCGGCCGCTGCACTCCAGTCTGGGCGACGGAGTGAGACTCCGACTCAAAAAAAAGAAAATGAAGAAAAAGGCGTGGTAGCACGCGTCTGTAGCCCCGACTACTTGGAAGGGCTGAGGCGGATGGATCGCCGGAGCCTAGCTGGGGTGGCCCTGAGTGTGGGTGCTACCGCACTCCAGCCTGGGAGACGGAATTAGACTCCAACTTGATAGATAGATAGATAGATAGATAGATAGATAGATAGATAGATAGATAAAATTTTGAAAAATGTTGAACGGAGCCGAGAGAGGTGGTGCACGCCTGAAGTCCCAGCTATTCAGGAGGCGGGAGGAAGGTTTAAGCCCAGGAGTTCCAGGTTGCGGTGAGCTGTGATCGTGCCACGCCACTCCAACCTAGGGGAGGGTGAGACTCCGACTTAAAAAAAAATATAAAATAAAGAGTTAAGTATTAGATGTATTTCTCCTGTAGAGCTCACCACGGGGTAATTTCTGCCACGCAGTTTTGAGATTTGTTCTGTTTTTGCTTTGCAAATAAAGCTACAGTGAACCTCCTTCCGTCTTTCTCCTTTTGGATTACGCACCACTCTGTTTCTCGAAGCAGGTTTACTGGTCCAAAGGATGTGGATTTCTTTCCAATTTAGCTTACAAAATTGTGCACACTGGTGGGTTTTTTGAAGTTAGGAGGCCCCTAGGATTGGAATGGTCATCCGAAAAGCTCGACGCTTGGTCCCGGTTTCGTCCTAAGGCTAGAACTCTGGCCGGAGTAAACGCCTTTGGTCCCATGCCTCAGTTTCCCAGAAAGCACAGGCGCCGTCGCGCGCACTTCCTTGCAGAGCGGAGGCAAAGCTCCGCCTCCTCTCGGGTCTGAGTCCCGGCATGCTCATCATTCCGATTGACAGTCAGTTCCACCAATCAGCGCGCGAGGGAGAGCGAGGAGGCTCTCCTTTGGACACGGGCGCACGGTGCTCGTTCGAGAAGATGCGTGGCTGCGGTTCTTGGGGCCGGGTCTGGTGTGGTTGGAGGCCGGGGCTGGGGGCTCCAGCAGCAGCGCCCAAGGACACAGGCTTTGGCACCGAGGCCCGGTGATTAAGGACCCCCTTCTTCATGAGGGAAGGAGGCTGGGGCGGGGGGGGGACGCGCGGAATCTGGACCAGGCAGACACAGGTTCTTATCCCAGCTCGGCTGTGCTACCCTCAGAGAGTCCCTGGGACTCGCTGACCCTCAGTTCCCTCCGCTGTGGGGTCAGTCGTACCCGAATTTCGAGAAGCTCAGCCCAGACGTTCTGCGGCATTTGTAGGAGGCCGCAGCCTTGGGAAGGGGCGTGCGGGGCAGGAATGGGCGGCACTCGGGAAATGAATGATTCCTGTTGCATTTCTCGCCTCTTCCAGGCACCAGCCGCGACCTAGAGGACCCCGCAGATGCTCGGGGCCCCTCGGGGACCAGCCCTTCCCGGGGCTACCGCCCAAGGACCTCAGTCCGGAGACGTTGCTTGGTGTGCTGAGGACAGCCGTGGTGGACCGGAAAGGTGACGGGTGGGAGGGAGAGCAGCGCGGAGACCCGGGAAGGGTGTTTGCTGCTGGAGTGTCGGCAGGGCTCCCCAAAAGCCTCGGGATCAGATCCTGGCTCGCCCCCCTCCCCCCTCCGGCCACTAGCAGCATGGTGATATGGGCTTGCACTGGGGAGAGGGTGCAGAAAGCCTTGCGCAGAGTAGGGGCTCAGGAATGGGGGAGGGGGGATTGCCGTAATAAGATGTCACTGTTTATTGGTGGACAGAACAGAGGCTTTGGAGTCAGATGTATCCAGGTTCTGTGATAAGCTTGCTGTGTGGCTTTAGGAAAATAATTTCTCTGAGCCTCAGTCTCCATTTGGCGTTTTTCTTCATTTTCTCAACTTTTTGTTGCTGTTGTTTTTGAGTTGAGGTCTCACTCTGTCGCCCAGGCTGGAGTCCAGTGGCACCTGATGTTCTTTCCTCTAACTGCCGTCAAGTAGAGAGGGTACAGAGATGAAATATTTCTGCAGTTTCACAACTCGTGAGCTTGTTTGTTGGGAACTTAATTATTTAAGAGCTAAGGTATGTAAAATTCCTAAAATTCAAAAATTAGACCGGCATAGTCATGTGCCACCTGTAGTCCCAGCTACTCAGGAGGCTGAGGAGGGAGGATTGCTTGATCCCAGGAGGTCCAGGTTGCAGTGAGCCATTGTGTTCTAACCTGAGCGACAGAGTGAGACCCTGTTTCCAAAAACAAACAAACAAACAAACAAAACACGAAAATAAATATAAATGAATTGTTGATCAGTGCCATGAATAAATGAAAACAAGGTGTTACAATGGTGAGGAACTGTAGGAGGAGACGATATAGATTGGGGATTCCTCTCTGTGGTGTGACATTTCTGCCAGGATGATATGAAGGAGCCAGGCCTGTGAAATATTGGGACAAAAGAAAGAGGAAGTGCAAAGGCCCTGAGGTAGCAGTGAGTTTGGCATATGTGAGGAAAGAAGTTGTTCAGAGTAGTTGGTGACTCATGTCCGGGAGTCGTGGGGCCATGTGCTAAGAGGAATGAGAAAGTGCTTTGTAAACTCTAAGTGCTGCATCATGGTTTCCCATTGCTTTTGCTGTTGCTGATGTTCGTGTGATACATGTTTCAGGACCTCTTGTGACACTGAACAAGCCACAGGGTCTGCCAGTGACAGGTATGGGCAGGGGGTGTGGGAAGGGAATGCAGTGGAAGGGGGTTGATAACTCTGAGGGAGGGAATAGTGAAGAGAAGGGGAGAGTGAAATGAAACTTAGGGCTCTGGGTGCCACTTGTCATTTTCCTTCTCATTTTCCAGGAAAACCTGGAGAGCTGACATTGTTCTCGGTGCTGCCAGAGCTGAGCCAGTCCCTGGGGCTTGGGGAGCAGGAGCTCCAAGTTGTCCAAGCACCTGGGAGGTAAGTGGTGGGGGTGATGGGGAGGTTGGAGGACAGGCTTCCATCTGCTTGGGAGTAAGCTGAGACACTTTCCACGGAAGGTTTGAGATCATAGAGGTAGGGTCCAAGTACTATGAGGAGGAGGAAGCCAATGGATGTGGGCTCAAATCCTCAAGTACAAACTGTGTGTTCTTAGGCAAAGCACGACACCTTACTGAGCCTGTTCCTTTAATATTAAGATACAGAAGCTGGGCATGGTGGCTCACTCCTGTAATTCTAGCACTTTGGAAGACAGAGGTGAGAGGATTGCCTGAGCCCAGGGGTTCGAGACCAGCCTGGGCAACTTGGCGAGACCTCGTCTCTTCAATAAATAAATAAAAATTAGCCAGGCAAGTTGGTGTGTGCCTGTAGCTCCAGCTTCTTGGAAGGCTGAGGCAGGAGGATCGCCTGAGCCCAGCAGATCGAGGCTGCGGTGGCTGTGAGCATGCCCTTGCACTCTAGCCTGGGTGACAGAGTGTGACTTCGACTCAAAAAGAAAAAGAGAGAGAAAATAATCTCTGTGCTCACGTGCAATCACTTGTCCAGGCCCATACTCCTGGCACGCACTGCTAGTGAATCTATGATATTCTTTCCTCTAACTGCCATAAAGTAGAGATGGTACTAGAGATGAAATATTTCTGCAGTTCTACAAGCTCATGAGCTTATTTGTTGTAAATTTAATTATTTAAGAGCTAAGATATGTAAAATTCCTAATAGAGTGTCTGTCACATGGTAGATGCTCAGCAATTGGTGGTATGTGTTATGACATTTGGCTCTGAGCTCCCTGGGCCCAGGGCAAAATGAGAAACACATTAAACTCCATAGTCCTGTTATCAGACAAGGGGAAGCCTTACTTGACTTGTTTCTCAGGAGGTGGTCTGGGCCTTAGTCCTGGTGTTACTGTTTGGCTTTAAGCAAGTCAATGTTCCTTCCTAGGAGTCTCCTTTTTGGCGAATGAGCCCAAAGGACTTTTTCTGAATCGGGGTCTCACTCTATCACCCAGGCTGGGGTACAGTGGCATGATCACAGTTCATCACCGTCTTGACCCCCCATGCCTGGCTAGCTTTTTTATTTTGTAGAGATGAGATCTTGCTATGTTGCCCAGGCTGGTCTAGAACTCCTGGGCCCAAGCAGTCCTCTGGCCTCAGCCTCCCAAAGTGCTGAGATTACAGATGTGAGCTACCACACCTGGCCCCAAAGGACTTTAACTTGTGTGATTTGTCCCCTTCCTTCAGGGAGACCTCCGGGCTTGTACTCCTATCCAGTTGTCCACAAACAGCAAGTCGCCTCCAGAAGTTCTTCATCCACTCACGGAGAGCCCAGAGGCCCACAGCCACCTACTGGTGAGAGGCTCTAGGAGGTTCCGCAGGGTGGCGGGGAGGTCCCAACAAGCCACTCTGTGACCTCCTGCCTCTTTCTCAGTGCTGTCACTGATGGAATTCCAGCTACCTCTGAGGGGAAGATCCAGACAGCTCTGAAACTGGAACACATTGATGGGACTAATCTTGTGAGTCGGGGCCTCGACAGGGAATAGAAGGGGTTCTTCCAGATGTATCACCTCTGGAGAGGAGTCGGGGCATGGGCTTAGGGTGGCTCTCCTGTCCCCTAAGACAGACCCGTGGCCAGTGCCCATACTGTGGCCCTGTCCTGAGTCTGTTGGGTGCAGGGAGGATCTGAGTATAGCTCCCAGGCCTGTGTTTACTCTTGGCTGGCACCACAGGTAGTTCCAGTGAAGACCCCGTCCCGAAAGGGCATCCTGGAAGGTGTCAAGAAGACCCTCAGCCACTTCCGTGTGGTGGCCACAGGCTCTGGCTGTGCCCTGGTCCAGCTACAGCCACTGACAGGTGGGCCTGGAACCCCAGCCAGCCTTTAGGAAGGGAGGTAAGGCGGGAGGAGGAAGGTCTTGGTACCCAGCAACAGCCTGGGAAGCACTTGATGGACACCACAGGTGTGTGTGACCAGCCCAGCTGCAGGGGGGCAGCTCCAGGCCATACCCCACCAGTTGGGAACCCAGCACAAAGGAGTGATCCTTATTCCAGTTGTCTCACCAGTTGATTCAGGGTTGCATCTAATGAGCAAACTCATAGCCAAGTGCATTGACAACTGTGATTGTCCTGGCCTGGTCATGTGCCCCTCTCTGGAGGCAGGGGCCAAAGTTTTGACCTCGCTGAAACCACCTGATCAGAGAATGGGTGTAGTGTTTCCCCAAAGGAAAGGGAGAGGGACGACACCAGGAGGGACAGAAAGAATAGCCACCCACCATGCTGCGTCTCCTGTTGCCCAGTGTTCCCCAGCCAACTCCAGGTACACATGATGCTCCAGCTCTGTCCTGTGCTTGGGGACCACACATACTCTGCTGGCATAGGCACCATCCTGGGCCAGCGCTTTCTGCTGCCAACTGAGAATACCAAGCCCCAGAGACAGGTACTCAAGCCCACCTGCCTGCTGCCTTCTGGGGCTGAGGAGTGAGGGTGGGTAGCATCTCCAGACCTTAGCAGTGCAGTTGGAATGGGAAGGTGGCCCTCTTGACTTCCAATGCTGTCTGTATCCACGTTTTGATGTGTGGTCTCGGATAAGTGGCATCCCCTCTCTTCGGCCTCATGCTGCTCAATAAGAGATTTGAAGTGGCTGGTTTCTAAAAGCCCCTCTGAGCCATTGAGTCTGTTTGGTACAAGGGGTAAAAGAGGTTGTGTGTGTGTATTAGGGTACCTCTGTCTTCTCTGAATAACCCCAAAGCACCAGAGTCAATCCAGTAACTTTTCCCTCGTGATTATGTTCAAATAATGGGAGGGGCAGGAGTGAGCTTTGCTCCAGGCAGTCACTCAGGGACCCAGGCTGTTGAAATCCAGCAGATGAGGGGAGACAGTGTACGTTTATGTGGATGTGATTTTTATGGGCCAGATCTGGAAGTGGCGTGCTCCCACCCACATGCTATTGGCTAGAGCTCAGTCACATGACCTCACCAAACTGCAAGAGGGGCTAGGAAACATAACTTAGCTGTGTGCTCAGGAGGAAACTGATTTGGTCAACCCCTAGCCAGTCTCCGCCTCTGTGAGTGCCTGTGCGAATGTGCATGTGTGTAGAGAGGAGTGATTAACAGTTGCATGGGGTATGGTCTCATCTGAAAAGAAAGAGCAAGGAAATGATCAGCAGCTGCAGACCAGGGAGGGCAGGAGGCAGTGCTCTCCTGGCTCCTGTGTCCCTGGACTCAGCTGGTTGGCACTTATGTGGCTGAGTGCACAACATGCCTCTCCTGCTTCAGGTCCTGGATGAAGCCCTTCTCAGACGCCTCCACCTGACCCCCGCCCAGGCTGCCCAGCTGCCCCTGCACCTCCACCTGCATCGTCTCCTCCTACCAGGCACCAGGCCCAGGGACGCCCCCATTGAGCTCCTAGCACCTCTGCCTCCTTATTTCTCCAGGACCCTACAGTGCCTGAGGCTCCGCCAACAAGAATCCTCCCTCTGTTCCTGACCCCCATTGGAAAACCGGGAGGTGGTGCTGGGCCAGGCCCTGGGGAATGATGGCAGTGCTCAGCATGCAGTCTGGCCATGGTTAGGTCCTGTGCTGTGCAGTCAGACCTCATCAAGTCATGGCTAGGCCACTTGCTTGCTGTGTGGCACTGGGCAAGTGACTTTATCTCTGGACTTAAGAGAATAAAAGTTCCTACCTCACGGTATGGTTTTGAGGATTTGCTAAAACAGTAAATGTTTATCATGGACTGTGCTTTCTGCTGAGTTAAATATGGCCTCTCACTGGATGAAACAATGTGGTACATATACACAGTGGAATGTTACACAGCCATAAGGAAGGACAAAATTATGAACTTCACAACAACTTGGGTGGACTTAGAATCTATAATACTGAGTGATCTATCACGGATACAAAGAACTGAGTTCCACATGTTTTCACTGATAAGTAGACCTTGAACAATTAACAATACTATTCAAAAGGGATTGGCAGTAGTTGGAAATTGCCTGAGGGGAGGGCACACCTAATCAACAAGGGTACCTGCATAATGAACATTTGTATACCTAACCCTGAATTGTACCCCACATCTTCAAAATAAAAATTAAAAAAACCCCACCAAAACAAAAGAAATTTTAAGAAGCCAAGACAGAAAAAAAAAATATGGCCTCTTTTTATTTGGCAGTTTCTGTCCCAATCCTGACTTGGGGAGATGTTAGATTTTTTTTTTTTTGAGTTGGAGTCTCACTCTGTCGCCCAGACTGGAGTGCAGTGGCTGCTCCTGGCCACCGCAGCCTCGACCTGCTGGGCTCCGGCAATCCTTCCCCCTCAGCCTTCCAAGTAGCCGGAATTACAGGTGCACGCTACTACACTCGGCTCCTTATTTATTATTGTAGAGACGAGGTCTCACCAAGTTGCCCAGACTGGTTTCGAACCCACGGGCTCAGGCAATCCACTCACCTCAGCCTCCCAAGGCGTGGGATTACAGGCTGAACCACCGAGCCCGGCAGGTTTTTTTTTTTAATTGTGGTAAAATATATATAATAGAAAATGTACCATCTTCACCATTTTAAGTGTACAGTTCTGTGGTGTCAGGTACACTCACATTGTACAACCAGAACCACTGTCCATCTCCAGAACTCTTCATTCTGTAAAACTAAAGCTTTGTATCAGTTAAATACCCGTTAGTCACCATGAAATTGACTATTCCAGGAACCTTGTCTAAGTGGAGATATTAGATCTTTTGCTTTACAAAATTGTGAAATATATCAAACATTAATGGAGTGCCTAGGCCAGGCGTGGTAGCTCATGCCTGAGTCCAGTGGTTCAAGACCAGCCCAGCCAGATGTGGTGGCTTGTGCCTGTAATCCCAGCAATTTGGGAGGTGGAGGCGAGAGGATTACCTGAGCCCAGGGGTTTGAGACCAGCCTGGGCAACTTGGCAAGACTTAATCTACAATGAAAAAAAAAATTAGCCGGGCATGGTGGTGCACGCCTGTAGTTCCAGCTACTTGGAAGGCTGAGGTGGAAAGATGACCTGAGCCTAGCAGGTCAAGGCTGCGGTGGCCCAACAGAGTGCCACCTGGGTGACAGAGTGAGACTCCGACTTAACAAAAACAAAAACATCTCTGTGATTTGAAGAATACAGTCATCTCTTGGTATCCACAGGGGAATGGTTCCAGAACCCTCCCGCTTGGATTCTAAAATCTGTGGATGTTCAGTCCACTGATACAAAATGGTATAGTATTTGCACATAGCTCACATACATCCTCCCCACATACTTTAAATCATTTCTAGATTACTTATAATACCTAATATGATATACATGTCTTATAAATAGTTGCTATATTGTTTGTAATTGTTGTTTTATTTATTAATATTTTTCATCTGTGGTGGTTTGAATCTGCAGGTGTGCAACCTGTGGATAAAGGAGGACCACTGTCATTATAAACTGACACATATATAACCCCACTTGGGCAAAAAATAGAGGCACCCTCTCCTGTTTTGTGCAGCAAAAATTCTCAACCCTGGCACCAAATCAGAACCCCCTCTGCCCCCTCCCTCCCCCCAGGAAGCTCAAATCCCCATCATTCTGCACCCTAAAGATTCTGGTTAAATTGGCTTGAGGTGGAGACCCTGTCATCAGTCTTTTTGCAAGTGCCTGAAGGAGTTCTGTTCGGTCTAGGTTGGAAACCATTGCCGGGACTTGGGGAGAATTCTATCTGAATTCTACCACATACACGTTTCCCTATACAACATACCTCATTTTGACTGTTTTTGAAGTTTCTGTAAATGGAACCATGCTTGTATATATTATTCTGTGACCTGCTCTTGTTGTATGGTGTGTGGTTTGAATTCTAGAGTTTGACTAGACCAGTTTATCCATTCTAATGTTAATGGACAGTAAGGTCATTTGGCTGTTACCAAAATGCTCCTGTGAGCCTGCTTGTGTTTCCCGGTTCAGTGTACAAGAACTTCGTGATTGGAGTTATGTACATTTATCTTCATCTGGACTGGGATATTAGTTTTCCTAGGTCTGCCATGACAAATTACCACAACCTGAGTGGCTTAAGACAGGAATAGATTCTCAAGGTTCTGGAGGCCAAAAATCCCAGCACTACTTCCTTCTGAAGGCCCTAAGGCAGAATCCTTTCTAGATTCTCTGATGGCTCCAAGCGTCCCTTGGCTTGTGGCTGCATCACACCAATCTCTGCCTCCATTGTGTGGCCCTCTCCTGTCTTTTTTTTTTTTGAGTTGGAGTCTCACTCTTTGCCCAGGCTGGAGTGCAGTGACACACTCACGGCCACCCCAGCATCGACCTGCTGGGCTCCAGTGATCCTTCCACCTCAGCCTTCCAAGTAGTTGGAACTACAGGCGCATGCTACCATGGCCGGCAAATTTTTTTTTTTTTTTGAGTTGGAGTCTAACTCTATTGTCCAGACTGGAGTGCAGTGGCCGCTCCCGGCCACCGCAGCCTCGACCTGCTGGGCTCCGGTGATCCTCCCGCCTCAGCCTTCCAAGTAGCCAGAACTACAGGTATGCGCTACCACGCCCAGCTAGTTTGTGATTTATTGTAGAGACGAGATCTCGCCAAGTTGCCTGGGCGGGTTGCGAAAAATTTTTGAATTATTGTAGAGACAAGGTCTTGCCAAGTTGCCCAGGCTGGTCTCGAACCCATGGATGGGCTCAGGCAATCCTCTCACCTCAACCTCCCAAAGTGTTGGGATTATAGGTGTGAGCCACCACGCCTGGCCTTTTCTTTTTTTGGGGGGGTCAGACTCTTATTCTGTACCCCAGGATGTAGTGCAGTGGTACGCTCACGGCCACCACAGCCTTGACCTGCTGGGCTCAGGTAATGCTTCTGCGTTGGCCTTTCAAGTAACTGGAACTACAGGTGCACGCCACCACACCCAGCTAATTTTTTGATTTATTGTAGAGATGAGGTCTCGCCAAGTTGTTCAGGCTGGTCTTGAACCCATGGGCTCAGGCAATCCTCTCACCTTGGCCTCCCAAAGTGCTAGGACTATAAGCGTCAGCCACCATGCCCAGCCTTTTTTTTTTTTTTTGAGAAAGAGTCTCGCTCTGTCAGCCAGACTGAAATGTAGTGATGCAAACAAAGCCCACTATAACCTCAAATTCCTGGGCACAAGTGATCCCTGAGCCTCAGCCTCCCAAGTACCTAGGGCGACAGATGTACACTACCTTGCCCAACTAATTAAGAACAATTTTTTTGTAGAGGCAGGGTCTTGCTACGTTGCCCAGAATAGTCTCAAACTCTTAGCCTTAAGTGATCCTTTCACCTTGGCCTCCCAAAGTGCTGGGATTACAGGTGTGAGCCACTGTACCCAGCCTTCTTCTGACTCCTACAAGAACACTTGTCACTGAATTTAGAGAACACCCAGATAATCAGGGTGATCTCATTTAAAGATCTTTAATTACATCTGCAAAGACTCTTTTCCTACATAAGGTCACATTCACAAGTTCCAGGTGGGCATATCTTTTGGGGAGGCCACCACTGAACCCACTACAACTAGGAAATGCCACATTTTTTTCACACAGGTGTGGCTCATTGGATATTTCATTTTTAGGTGACCTTGGCCTTTTGCTGAGGAAGGGACAGACCTGCTCCCTTTGAAGAAGGGCTGGGGTTTAGACAAGGTTGAGCCTTTCCCCTGTCTCATGGCATAAATGTTCCTATGCCCATAAAATGTCATTCTTCTTCCAGCCCAGCTAGTCCTCTGGAGTTGAGGGGGAATCCCAGAAGTCAGCAGTTCTGGCAGTATGTCCCTGCCTTCTCACTGCCATGTGATCTTGGGAAAGCCACATCTCCTCATCTGTCAAGTGAAGACTTATCCTCCCTACCCGCAGCCCAGGCCCGGATATGCTGGGAAGTCCCCGGACAGGAAGCCCTGTGCCTGTCACTAGGCGGGAGTTCTGGGCCTTGCTGCATGAAGGAACTGCTGACGGTTTCTGTTCTTTGCTGTGGACCTCAGGGCAGAAGGCCTTGCTCCACCCATTCTTCACTTCAACAGCAGTGGAGCCAAGCCCAGAATGCTTCATTGCTTCTTTTTATTTGGCGCTGGACCCGGGACGGGGTGGCAGGGATCGAAGCAGGGCCTTCCGTAGCCTCATATCCCCGACTCCCCCCCAGCCTCTGGAAGGCATCAAGAGGAGGCCGGGGTTCCAGGAGGCTCAGCCTCTTCAGGGGTCATGCCTCAGCCTTGGGTTTGTTGCAGAGTCTGGCCTTAAACTTGCCTTTGGCCTTGACCTTTCTGTGGATGCTAGGAAGAATTCCGACCTCAGAGGGCAGAGGCAGCAAGGCATTTCCAGGTGGGGACCTCGGAAGCGCGGGAGAGCAACAGCCTCAGCATGAAAGGAGGGAAAAGGGGAGAGATGACCAGGAATCTGCTTAGGAAGGGGGTTCTGAGGGAGACAAGCCCTTCCCTTGGGGTGCCAGCCAGCCTGGGAGCCACCCTCTGCCTGTGCCCTCCAGCCCTGACCCCAGTGCCCACCAGGGTATGAGGGGTCACAGTTCAAGGCCCACCTTTCTTGGCTCCGGGATGCTGGGTGCCACCTGGAGATCAAGGTTAGGTGGGAAAGAAATGAAAACCTTGGCCATAGGTAGAGTCATCAAGGCCTTGCCTGTGGTCGACAGGGCCTTAGAGCCCACCAGCTTGCTGTGCTGCAGTCTGAGGACCCGCCCCTGGGGTCGGAGCACGTGGGGAGAAGGCAGCCGGGCTTTGGTGTGGTGGCTGGGGAAGTGGTAAGGGGCTGTGGGAGTAAGGGAAGCTGTGAGGGGCTGGGGAGGCCCCAAGGCTGACCAGCTGCCCCACAAGGTGTGTGCGGAGGGCGGGATGAGGGCAGTCGGAGCCCTCCCCACTCCTCCTCCACAGGCAATGGGAAGAACACGGGGTTTGGGGTTAAGCAGACCAGGGTCTGCATCCCAGCTCTGCCCTTTCTGAGCTGTGCAACCTCAGGCAACTTAAACTTCCTGATACCTCGGCTGGAAAATGGGGATAATGGCACCTACCTCACTAGTTGTAAGGACTAAGGGAGCTGGGTAGGTAGCAGCACAGCAGAAACCGTTAAGTACTGTACAAATAGTCCTTTCCCCCAGGGGCGACTCTGCTTAGAGGCAAAGGCAGAGTACTGCAGTCGGAAAATCTTGGGCTCTGGAGAGGAATCAACCTGGGATCGAGTCCCAGCATCTATGAAATAAGTCTAACTGCCTTTCAGACTGGTCACTTTGAAGGGGACAATATTCATTTGGCTGTGTATTTTAAAAGAAAACTTTGTGAGTTGTGGCTTTTACTTGCTATCACTGGCTCTTTGGTGGGGTGGTTGGGAGGGGCCCACAGAGCAGGAAGAAATTGCCTTGGGACGCTGGGGTATTTTGGGGGAATGGTCGCACCCAGGGCCTGAGGGTTCTCTGGACTCAGTGGCAATGTGTTCAAGGGGTAGGGTTGCCTGTTCCCATTAGCAAAGGACATGGTGAAAACACAGCCCATCCTGGTGCTGGGGGGGGTCCCACTTCCGGAGATTGTGGCAGACCAGAGCTGTGGCACTTTTCGCCTTGCCTTTCTTCCCCTTTCCGGGCGCTGAAGTGGTGTCAGTGGGATCTGGCTTCTCACTGTGCCCCAGGCTCCGGGCCCCAGCACATTTCTTAGAAGCTGACCTGTAGGCAGCGGTCCCTGAGTCTTTGCCTTCCCCAGAGCCTTGCTGGGTCAGCAGATGAGGGAGTGCTGGGCGGACACCCAACCGCTGATGACACATCGTCATGGGCTTCTTGATTGTGGAGCCCTCCACCAGGAGCCGGATACCCACATACTGGGGCACCTCCACAGCAGGCTGTAGGCAAGAAGAGATAGGCCCACTCAGACAGTGGTGCTGGAATCCTTGGCCTAGCAGGACAAGGATAGAGATGGGTGGAATCACTTTCTGAGGCATCTGATCAAGAGATGTTTCTGATGAGAAACGGGAAGTCTGCCTCTGCCCCCGAACAGATCTGGCCCTAGGGGTGTGAATCAATACCTAGAGAGTCACAGAGCCCCAGGGATTGGTAACCCAGAGAAGCCAGGAAACCCTAGCCATGCCCCATCAGCACCCCATCACCCTCCTGCCCTCCCAGGTTGCCCAGCCCCTGCTGGAATGTATGTGGCTCCCCCTCATGGGCCACCGCTGGTGGACAGCTTCCTAAGTGAAGTCAATCAGATTTACTGCACCAGGAATTTGAGTTATGATGCCCTGACAGGCAAGAGGCTAGGAGCCTCCCTAGAGCCTCGTGTGACTCCAAACCGTTAGGGAACAGAAACTGAGAACCTTAAAGAAAGTCCAGGGAGGGAATGAAGTAGCCAACATGAAGAGCAAAGGCAGAGAGAAGGGTCCAGGAGCAGAGGTCCCTTATAGCTTTCAGATTCTACCAAGTTGTACTTCCTGCAGTTAGGCTCCAGGAGAACCCCCTGCTCCTGGCTAACAACCTGGAGCTAGTCTGCAGTGTCTTCTGTGTCATTAAAGGCCCCTGCTTAGAACCTATCTAAACATCAGACTTACTGGCAGCTTGTTAAAAATAAAGCTATCATGGCCGGGCGCGGTGGCTCATGCCTATAATCCCAGCACTTTGGGAGGCTGAAGTGAGCGAATTGCCTGAGCCCACGGGTTGGAGACCAGCCTGGCCAACTTGGCAAGACCCCAACTCTACAATAAATCAAAAAATTAGCCAGATGTGGTGGCACGTGCCTGTAGTTGCAGCTACTTGGAAGGCTGAGGTGGAAGGATCACTGAAGCCCAGCGGGTCGAGGCTGTGATAGCTGTGAGCGTGCCACTGCACTCCAGCCTGGGCAATGGAGTGAGACTCCAACTCAAAAAAATAAAATAAAATAAAATAAAGCTATCAGAGCTCCTGAGTAGCCCCAGATGATGAGGGAAAACTCATCTTTATAGAAGAATCTCAGCTAACAAATGTAGAACAAACAAAAAGAATTAGACATTTGGCTGGGTGTGGTGACTTACACCTGTAATCCCAACACTTCAGGAGGCCAAGGTGAGAGGATTGCCTGAGCCCAGTAGTTCGACACCAGCCTGGGGAACATGGCGAGACCCTGTCGCTACAATAATTCAGAAAATTGGCTGGGCATGGTGGCGTATGCCTGTAGTTCCAGCTACATGGAAGGATCTCCTGAGCCCAGCAGCTCGAGGCTGCAGTGGCTGTGAGTGTGCCACTGCACTCCAGCCTGGGGGATAGAGTGAGACTCCGACTCAAAAAAAAAAAAAAACACAAAGAATTAGACATTTACCATTTTGCAACTCTAATAAAAAGGCAAGAATCAAGACTGAAAATCAAAAGTTAGATGAAAAGGATGACAGGAAAATGTATAATTTACCCACAGCCAAAGCATCACCTACAAAGTAATTACTAATTGCAGAGGAGAGGATGTAGCTTACAACGGAGGGATCTGGTAGCCACCACCTTAACTCATGGCCAAGCTTAGCAGCAATAACCATGAGACACTCTGACAGTACGTGCCTTGTGTTGCCCCACGAGGTACCCAGCATCACCTCTGAAGAGCTCTCGCCAAAAATGCTTAACCTGAACCTCAAACTAACCTAACTTCTAGTTTACAGGACATTCGGATACAAGACCAAGTTAAATAACATCACAAGGAAACAATCAGATATATCCAGAATGTGGGACAGCTCTACAAAACAACTAGCCTGGTCCCTTCAAAAGATAAAAACTGTGGAGAAAAAAGGCACTAAGGCTGGCCTAGATTAAAGAATGAAAGAAACAACAACAAAAAACAATGCAAAGTGTAACCTTGAATACAGGCTGACCTAAAAAAACAAAAACAAGAACAAGTCAGCAATAAAAGACATTTGGGAGACATTTGAAAAATGCAGATGCATGGTCCCCAGGCCAGATATTTTGGGTAATCTCTGCGGGTGGGGCTTCCTGACATCCATACCTTTAGAGAGCTTTCTAGGTGATTCTGGCCTGTGAACCAGCATTTGGGAACTACTGCCCTACAGTGGTATCTTTTCCCTGATTTGGTCATATTTTCCCACTCCTGTATTTCTTCATATACATTTTTTGAAATGAAAAGGCCAGCCGGGCTCGGTGGCTCAGCCTGTAATCCCGTGCTTTGGGAGGCTGAGGTGAGTGGATTACCTGAGCCCGCGGGTTCAAGACCCACCTGGGCAACTTGGCAAGACCTCATCTCTACAATAAATCAAAAAATTAGCCGGACGTGGTAGCGCACGCCTGTAGTTCCACCTACTTGGAAGGCTGAGGTAGAAAGATCGCTGGAGCACAGCAGGTTGAGGCTGTGGTGGCTGGGAGCGGCCACTGTACTCCAGTCTGGGTGACAGAGTGAGACTCCAACTCAAAAAAAAAAAAAAAAAAAAAAATGAAAAGGCCAATATATTAATTTAAGATATGATCAGTAACTAATAAAGATGAGGACACTCAGGTCATGTGATCAACACATGCTCCCCTGTAGTCAGACCTTGTGAGAAGCTGAATCCTAATCAGAAGGCACTTAATTGCTGGGCATGGTGGCTCACACCTGTAATCTCAGCACTTGGGAGGCAGAGCAAGAGGATTGCCTGATCCCAGGGGTTCGAGACCAGTCTGGGCAATTTGGTGAGTTCTCGTCTCTACAATAAAACAAAAAGTTAGCTGGGCATGGTGGTGCATGCCTGTAGTTCCAGCCTCTTGGAAGGCTGAGGCTGAAGGATCACCTGAGCCCAGCAAGTCAAGGCTGCGGTGGCCGTGAGCGTGCCACTGTACTCCAGCCTGGATGAGAGTGAGACTCCTACTCAAAAAAAAAACAAAAAAAAAAGGTACTTAATTAAACTGCAAAAGAAGTTACTTCCAGAGCTCAAAAACCCTTGAGATTGGTTTTCTGACTGATTTTTTAAAATTCTATTTATAAGTAGTTCTCTTTCTGAAACAAGATGAGTAAATAACAGGAGCTACCACTAATTGCTTCTTACTATCTATCTAGGCACTTTACAGGTTGTGCCATTTATCATGAAACTCTTAACAACTTTATTAGGTAATAACAATAGCTTAAACTTCTGTAGTATTTACTGTGTGCCAGGTACTAGTCAAAAGTACTTATATCATCAGCTCATTTAATTCTCACAACCTTATGAATGAGGGACTATTTTTATTCTTACAGATGAGGAAACTGAGACTACCCAAGTTAGGAACAGTCATGCTGCTCATAGATACTGAACAGGGATCTGAACCCAAGGAGGTTCCAGCATTTTAACAGTATGCTATATGTCTCTCTAAAAATACTATCTACAGGTCGGGCTTGGTGGCTCAGTCTATAATCCCAGCACTTTGGAAGGCTGAGGTGAGTGGATTGCCTGAGCCACAGGTTCAAGACCCACCCGGGCAACTTGGCGAGACCTCGTCTCTACAATAAATCAAAAATTATCTGGGTGTGATAGTGTGCGCCTGTAGTTCTGGCTACTTGGAAGGCTGAGGCGGAAGGATCACCGGAGCCCAGCAGATCGAGGCTGCAGTGGCCAGGAGTGTGCCACTGTACTCCAGTCTGGGCGACAGAGTGAGACTCCAACTCAAAAAAAAAAATACTAGCTACATATATTAACTCACTTAATTCTCCCAAACTTCATGAGTAAGATGGCACTATTATCCCCAATGTACAGATGAGAAAACCAAAGTAAAAGAAGGTGAAGTCACCTTGGCAGAACCAAGACTTGAATCTGAGTCTTGAAGTGGGTCTGACTACAGAGCCCTTTGTGCACTACAGAGCTGCCTGGGAGAGGGGGAAGACTCCCTGGGGTCTTGCCTTGGCCCAACCACCTTACCTGCTTATAAATGAGCTCAAAGGCTCCTGTGTCACAGTTGCGGTCCAGCCGCCAGTCGATGACCACACGGAGGGTGTCAGCTTGCACACCAGCGCAGAGCCGGGCAGTGACGGCTGTGGAGGGTGCCATGGTGGGGCTGGCGTTGATCTCAATTAGCCAGGGCTGGAAGTCCTCACCAAATACAAAGTCAGCACCATAGAGCTCAAAGCTGGCCTTCCGATACTGCACAGTGTCCTGGGAGGTCTGAAGCGCATGGATCACGGCAGCCTTCATGCCAGGCACGATGACAGTGGACCAAGCATTTGGGGCCCCCATCTCCTGCAAGTGGGTCTGGAACCTCCGGCTGGACCACATGTTGTCTGAAGGCAGAAGCGGATGCCGATGGCACGAATTCTCTAGGTGCTTCTGGATGGAGTTGTTGCACAGATGCACCGAGCTGGGGCAGAGAGCAGAAAGCTGAGGTCTGGGCCCTTGTGCCCCCCAACCCAATTTCAGGGAGGACAGGCAAATCCTGCAACCAGCCCTGAGCCACCCTGGATTGTTCAACCTGAGGATGGGAGGAGAAAAAGGACAAAGGCCTGGGTCCCCCCATATTCTTCTAGGGTCAGAACCAGTATTATCTCTCAGGATCGTTCCAAGGACACTAACCACAGGGGTACAGTATTAAGTGCTTTGTGCATAGTTAATCCTTCTGGTTTTTGGAAATAGGTGGATGAGACTATGGCACTGTAGTCGCCAAGGTGTGTTCAAGTCCCATCTTCAGCACTGACTGGTTGTGAGATCTTAGGCAAGTCATCTAACCTGCATGCTCCTCACATCTGTAAGATGGAGTAACAATGCGCACTTCATTGTGTTTTTATGAAGAATGAGTGAAAAAATATACACAAGGTGCTTAGCACCTATCACATATGAAGCACTCAATAATGTCATGTGTAAGTGTGATTTTCACATTACTGCCTCCATTCTTCAGATGTGGAAACTGAGGCTTAAATAGGTTTCACTTGACCAAAGTCACATAGCTTGCTCTCACCCTTCAAGTTAATACCACATCCTGCCTTTCTCCTAATATCTTCTGGCCTTCCTTCACCCTGCACTACATTTTCTTTCCTTTTGTTTTTCCCCAAAATGTGTATCACCTTTTAGCCTATTAGATAATGTTACTTGTCAATTGTTTGTTTCTCCCTGTAGAATGTGAGCTTTTGAGAGCTGGTATCTCGTTTTGTTCACCACTGTATCCCAAGTGTCCAGAACAGTGAATGGCTCAGGGTACACACTCAGTAAGTATCTGCCAGGTGGAAGGATGGCTGGATAGATGAGGGCCTGCCTGCCTGGACCGCCTGTGCTTGGGGCCCAACGTTGCTGCATGAGTCCATTGCACTGAAATTGCCAGTTTGCTCACCAGCTCCCCAGCTAGCCTGGGAGCTTATGGAAGGTGAGCAGTGGGGCTCACTTGTCCAGGTTCTTCAGGGAAAAGGGCTGTGTGGAGAAGCGGATGTAGCTGTCACGGTAGAACCACACGGTAAGTGGATTCCAGTCGGTCACCAGGAACCACTGTCTCAGGTCAAACTTGGTACCAAAGATGAGGAGGGGCCGCTCAATATACTTCTGTACCACCCATTTGCCATCCTTCATCATCAGGGGGTTGCCATCCACCAGTTTCAGCATCTCTTCCAGGTGGTCCATGCACATGATGCCTAAGGGGGAAGGGCACAGTCAGGGACCAAGAGGTCAGACTTAGACCGGGAAAAGGGCCAGGGGACCATGGGCAGCTCATCAGGAGCTCTCATTCCCACAGAACTGACAGGGTCAAGTGGTTAAGGCCACCTCCCTCAGTCAGAACCCTGTTCCCTTTGGGAAACCTGGGAATATACTAAGCGTTTAAAATTGTTTCTATTTAACCAGTTTTGATTGAAAAGGAATATACGTACAGATAAAAATTTAAGTACGGGCTTTTTAAAAAAGCATATGCATATATTATTTTCCCCAATAATTAAAAGAATATAGGCCAGGTATGGTGGCTCATGCCTGTAATCCCAGCTCTTTGGGAGGCCGAGGCAGGAGAATCACTGGAGCCCAGGAGTTTGAGACCAGCCAGGGCAACATAACAAGACCTTATTGCTGCAAAAAATTTTAAAATATATTAGCTGGATATAGTGGTGTATGTGTCTATAGTCCCAGCTACTGAGGAGGCTGAGGTGGAAGGATCATTTGAGCTCAGGAGGTCAAGGCTGCAGTAAGCAGGGATCATGCCAGTGTACTCCATCCTGGGTGACAGAGTGAGACCTTGTCTCAAAAATAAAATAAAAATATTTAACAGAACATAAAACAACAACAAGAACAAAATTGGACAGTTGAAAAGGGTATACAAGGCTGGGTGCTGTAGATCAAGCCTGTAATCTCAGCACTTTGTGAGGCCGAGGTGAGAGGATTGCCTTAGCCCATGGGTTCAAGACCAGCCTGGACAACTTGGCAAGACCTCATCTCTACAATAAATCAAGAAAAATTAGTTGGGTGTGATGGTGCACGCCTGTGGTTTCAGCTACTTGGAAGGCTGAGGTGGAAGGACTGCCTGAGCCCAGCAGGTTGAGGCTCCAGTAGCCATGAGTGTGTCACTGCCTTCTAGCCTGGGCAACAGAGTGAGACTCCAACTCAAAAAAAAACAAAAACAAAACACATTAGGATTTGGAATAGTGCTTGGCACATGGTATGCATTCAGCAAATGTTAACTCATCATTATTATGAATTATCTATAGAATAAATTTTTAGGCTCCAAGGCATATGTATATTTCATTTTCTAGATGTTATACCAATTTGCAATCCCAGACAGAATGTATGAGACTATGTGTTTGCTCACACCCTACTTAACAATGTTGATTGATTGGTTACTTCTTTCTTTCTTTCTTTTTTGAGTAGGAGTCTCACTCTGTTGCTCACGCTGGAGTGCAGTGGCACGCTTATAGCCACTGCAGCCTTGACCTACTGGGCTCAGGAAATTCTTCCACTTCAGCCTTCCAAGTAGCTGGAACCACAGGCATGAGCCACCATGCCTGGCTGATTTTTTAATTTATTGTAGAGATGAGGTCTCGCCAAGTTGCCTAAGCTGGTCTTGAGCCCATGGGCTCAGGCAATACTCTCACCTTGGCCTCCCAAAGTGCTGGTTATAGGTGTGAGCCACTGTGTCCAGCCTCTTTTTTTTTTAAGTTGGAGTCTCATTCTGTTGGCCAGGCTGGAATGCAGTGGCACGCTCAAGGCCACCACAGCCTCAACCTACTGGGATCAGGTGATGCTCCTGTCTCAGTTGCCCAAGTAGCTGCTGGAACCACAGGTGTGCACCACCATGCTCAGCTAATTTTTTTGATTTACCATAGAGATGAGGTCTCACTAAGTTGCCCAGGCTGGTCTTGAACCCCTGGGTTCAGGCAATCCTCTTGCCTTGGCCTCTCAAACTGCTGGGATTATAGGCATGAGCCACCATGCTCAGCCCTGATTACTTATTTCTTTTAGCCATTATCTTAGGTAAAAAATGGTATCTTATTTTATCTCATTCTCAGGTTAAGTATCTTAACCTGATCTTATGCTTATAAGGCATCATTTTAATACTGGTAAATATCAGAATTATGTTACAAACAAAACATACACATCACAAATCAATCTCATTCCCTTCTTGTTTAGTACACCAAAGCAGCCTGCTCGCCTGCCAATGGCATGGAAAACCTTGTGCCTGGTTGCCAAACCAGATCTTTCTCGAATGGCCACATCAGTCGCCAAGATTCCCAAGGACATGATGTCTTGTGCAACAAAAGATTAAAAACTGAGCCAGGCTCGGTGGCTCAGCCTGTAATCCCGCGCCTTTGGAAGGCTGAGGTGAATGGATTGCCTGAGCCCGCGGGTTCAAGACCTGCCTGGGCAGCGAGACCTCATCTCTACAATAAAAAAAATAAAAAAAAATAAAAAATCAGCCAGGCGTGGTAGCACATGCCTGTAATTCCGGCTACTTGGAAGGCTGAGGCGGAAGGATCGCCGGAGCCCAGCGGGTCGAGACCGCACTCCAGTCTGGGTGACAGAGTGAGACTCCAACTAAAAAAAAAAAAAAAAAAAAAGATTAAAAACTGTTCATGCCCCTCTGATCTACAATTTTGTTTCTGGGAATTTACCCCAAGGAAATAAATTTAAAAGGCCACAAAGATATCTGCACAGGATGGTCATCATAGTGGTACTTATAACAGCAATCAATCAATCAATAAATAGGAAAAAACTGGAGGCCATCTAAACATCCATCAGAAAAAGATCAGAGAGCTCGGCTCGGTGGCTCAGCCTGTAATCCCGTGCCTTTGGGAGACTGAGGTGAGTGGACTGCCTGAGCCTGCGGGTTCGAGACCCGCCTGGGCAGTGAGGCCTCATCTCTACAATAAATCAAAAAAATTAGCCGGACGTGGTAGCGTGCCTGTAGTTCCAGCTACTCGGAAGGCTGAGGCGGAAGGATCGCCGGAGCCCAGCAGGTTGAGGCTGCGGTGGCCGGGAGCGGCCACTGCACTCCAGTCTGGGCGACGGAGTGAGACTCCAACTCAAAAAAAAAGAAAAGAAAAAGATCAGAAAGTCCATATGGTACATCAAAACAAGATTAGACTATGCAGCTATAAAACAGATTAAAGTAAGGGAGTGCAAAACTCAAAACACTAATCTATGGCATTATAGATCAGGAGGGGCATTATAGATCATCGTGGGGAGTTAGAGGTAGGAGGCAGTACAAGAAGAGACTCTAGGGTGCAGGTAATATTTTGTCTTCACTCTGGGTGCAGATTCCATGAGTGTGTGCACTTTATGACAATTTATTGAGTTGTATATTCACAATGCATATATCCTTTTCAATGAAATATATACTTCAATTAAATTTTTTTTTTTGAGTTGGAGTGTAATTCTGTCGCCCAGACTGGAGTGCAGTGG